CAAGTGCTGATGAAATAGTCAAAAATAGTCTCACATATCTTGAACAAAAATGAGATCAATCAAATGCATTTCTTATTGAATCAAAAAATTCGACGAATTGTTTACGGATGTCGCTCATAGTGTACCGTTTTCGGATCAGAGAATTTTCTCGTGTATGCAAATGTCACTTCCAAGAATTTCATTGAATCGCGATGGAAATAAATGTTTTTTTAAGGTTGTGACGAGATTTCAGAGTAAATTGATTCTTTTTGATACAAAATTTAATTCTTTTCGTCAGCTAAGTTATCTTTATTTAACAAGGCGTGAAAACTCAGGATTAATCCTAAAATATACCAAAAATGTTAAAAAAAATCCCTGGGCCAATAAAAAATCCAAAAAGGGATTTTACAGAGATTTCACATTTTCATGTTTATTGGCTCATTTTTTAGGTTAATCTTGAGTGTCCACGCCTTGTTATATAATTTAAATTTAGTAGGAAAACTCAAAAGGGTCCGTTCACTTCACGAAAAAAATTTGTTAACAAATTCACACCAAAAACATTTTTTGAACGTTCAGGGAAGGGGGGGGGGGGGATTGTGAGTTGTAACATATTGTAACAAGGGGGGGGGGGGGGGTGAAAAAAGTCGTTTTTTTGCGTAACGTAATAAGTGAACGGCCCCAAATATAAATTAATCTCTAATTATTTTAAAAATCTATAAATAATTCTAAGAATCAATTGATCGTATTTCATTTCTGAATTTTTAAACAAAGTTTGTTATTTAATGCTGGAGGGAACCAGTAATTATAGAACAATCTAAATTGCAACCGTAAAAGTTGTTTTTGTCAAGAGAAAACAATTTGAAGAATTCTTTGTGCATAATTTAGGTATCTTTTATTTAGTCTGTACTTCATGTTTGTTAAATAATCCTTAATGCTGCTTAGTTGTGTTTAATTGATGTTTTGTTTACAATTTTTAATTTGTAGATGTCCTGCTTGTGCCTCTTTTGCTGTTTATCAACGAACTCTTAGATTTTGTTTAATTCTTCAAGTCTAATTATTTCATAAAGATCAATTTAAAAACCCTTAAATTGCTTAACATATTTTGAATCATATGTATCAAAAATTGAAAAAATTTTAAAAAAATGTGCATAAAAATTTATTTAAATTTGAGTGCATTTCTTTTCAATTTTTATTCCATATCAAAGTGAATTTTCACTATCAATTGAATAAAATGTTGTTATTTTAACAATGACAGGATACATTCGCATTCAATAAACAGTTTCTCTTGACAATTTATATAAAATGAAAATTTGAATGAATTTGCAATGAAAAAATTGAATTGATAAATTTTTTTACAAACATTTGTGTCGTATGGATACAAATCATCAACAATAATGTGTTATAATATCATGCACATCTCAATCACCCACAATCTTGCTCTCTTTCCGTTATTTATCTCGAACAAATTTCATCTCATTTTCAATTCAATTTTTAAAAGGAATAAAAAAAAACAATGAAATAATAACAAAAAGAAGTGAGATGAAAAATAATAAATAACTTTCATTCGCTCTGCATGCAATTTGTGATGCATTCTTATGGGATAATTTTGTAGAGCGCATTTCCCGATGGATAATTTTCATTTATTCTAGAACTTACTTCATTGAAAAGATTAATTGTGATCTATGGCATCAATTAGATAGCGCTTGAAGCTCGCTCTATCGCTGGATACAGCTTGTCAACAACCAAAAACAATCCAGTAGATCCTTCTCAAGAGTTCTTGATTTATTCTAGAATCTCACAAAATATTATGATGTGATTATGAATTCAGAATTCAATCAATAGACAAATCAGCTAAGTAGTTGATTAGATTAAAACTAAATCTCGACATATTTAAAATAAGATCAAAAATCATAAGTGACTTTTAGATCATTTAAGTTATTTTTAAGAATTTGTTGAAATTGGTCAGATTAATGTTTGAAATTGTGTTGAGTAATTGTCATTGCAATAAATACAGTCCAATTAAGGAGAAATTTCTGTCAAACAATCGTTTTTTTTTAGCGAAGAAGGATCTTTTGAACTCTGGCCAATTGTAAACTTTTTCTTACTATAATAATTTCGTTTTAGAACGTTTGTAATTTTTGACAAACTTCCCTACAGAATTTTTATTATAAAAAGACAAAATGCAATTCTTTATTCTCATAAAATATGTAGCTACGTTCGCAATATTTGAGGAAAGTAACAAATAAGAACGAAAACATAGTTGACACGACTTACTTGAATTTAAAATTAATATTATCGATTTTAATATAATTTACTGATATGATAACAGAAATACAAATCTTTCTTTATTTCAAATTTGGAATCATTGTAGTTTAAGTTACATTTCTTTGAGTCTTATTTTGACACCAGCCTGAATATGGCTTTAATTCAACTATATCTTGATTAATTATTAATTTTAATGAATGAGATTTACATATATCATGAAAATGTGGCATAAAAAGTTTAAAAAAAGTTGCCGAGCGAGAAAAAAAAAAAAAAAAAAGCTTTTTTTAAGCTTATGAACTACGTTAATAAATTATTTTTGAACTGGCTTGTTCGGTGCTGGTGGGCAGCTCATGAAGCCATACTTCACCATGATTTTAAATGCAGTTCCTTGAGGTGCATCCTTTGGGATCTTTCCGGCTTCGTCGACGAAACTGCAGAACTGATTTATTGCTTCTTCAATGTTGGGGATTCTCTTTAGACGTTCTTGAGCTTCTGTGAATTTCTTGAAAAGGCTTTCATTCTTTACTGCTTCGTTGAGTTTCTCTGCATAACTGATATTATTGATCAGTTGTTGCTGATTAATCTCTTCTTTAAATGTTGCTGATGAGTTACTTGCAGCATTCACTGGATGTGAATGAGCAGAAACTTGATGTCGTTTGCTTAACGATGGAAAATTGTTACTGTCCAAAAGACTTGATATCTGTGGCAGCATTTTGAGTTGTGGTTTGACTCTTGACTTTTCGATTCTTTTGGAATACGAAATGAACGATGGGCACAGTCTATAACTGGCAGCATGATCGCCATTGCAATTAATGCACTTGGCATTTCCATCACGAGTGGATCGTTGACATTGATTTGGTCCGTGAACTTCCGTGCACTTGACGCATCGGAATTTATATCCACAATTTTGAGATGAGTGACCCCAACGTTGGCAGTTGAAGCACTGCGTTGGGCTTTTGTTGCCCTTCTTGATGTTCTCCCACTTGACGATGATGTTGTCGATGTTACGGTGGTTATGATTGAGCACGTTGATGTTCACACTTTCATCTTGAAAATGCACAAGATAAAAGGTGAACTCGGGCTTCTTGACGAGAATTGTCACTTTGACAGCTGAAACCTTGGCTTCTTGAAGTAATCTTAGTACTTCATTCGTTGGTGTTTCGTAAAATCCTTTCAGAACGAATGACTTTGTTTTCTCCGATTTCTCGGAGAAGGTGTGGAATTGAATAGTTTGAGACCGCAGAAGGTTTATTATTGAGGCCTTATCCTCAATAGACTTGACAATTACTTGAGTTGTATTTGATGATGAAATTTTATATGCAGGCATAACCTGCAATTTCAATAGTGAAATTAATTTTCTCACATCCTTGAGACTGCATTGCACAAATATTGGCTTGACTGAAGTTGTTGTTGTGACTGGAACCGATGATTCCTCTTTCTGAGGCGTTTGCTTCCTCTTCTTGGAATTTTCATTAGATTTGATTGAACTTTCGTCCAAATCAATTTTTGGCGACAAATCTTGCTTTCTTTTGGCTTTCCTCATTGTCCTTGAGGAAAACACAACCCTTGGCACTAAGTAAGAAGGTTTTTTTCCAACTAATAACGACTTGAACACTTTAATTAATTTAATAAAAAATTTTCCACGTTTTTGTGCGCGGGGCTTGAAACTCTGATAACAGAAAGAGAAACTTCTAATTTAAGCAATGCAGTAAAAGATGGAAGCAAATGAGGACAGAAAAGTTTATTGTTACTCTTCATAATTCCTGCAAACATTTATAAAAATTATTTAAAGATGTTGTCAGTTTTATTCTTTGCAAAGCGTGGAAATTATCTCAAATATAGTGTATTTGACATATAATCTTGGAATTCAATGGGATATCTCCCATTTAATTTATTTTAATGCAAACAAGCTCAGGGATTATTTGGGATATTTTTGGGATATTTGTGATGGTATCCACACCTTGATTCTTAACACATAGAATTTATGGGTTAGGATTGTAAGAAATTTACAGAGAAAGATTGTTGATCAAAAAAATTAAACAATCTTAAAGATTTAATTTCTACGTCTTTTAATTTCAGCAAAAAATTAACATTATTTAAAAAAAAATAATCATATTAAAACAAATTCAAGATAATTCACCTGTTTACACATTTTTGTTCAAACCTTTAGTAGCTTTGGAGCTATACAATACCTACCACAAACCACCCATCCATAAGATATAAACCACATCCTCAATACTTTATAATTCAATAAGTTCTTAATCAAAAGCATAATGACATCGACAATGATGAAGTTATAAAAGTTATCCGTACACAACAAACAAGCTATATAGCTTTAAATGAGAGGAGTCTTAAGGGTAAACCATTGCTCCATAATATTAACACAGTCATAATGAAGACAATGTTGTTTTCATTATTATTATTTATTTATTTTTATTCCTTTTGTTTCATGCTCATTCAAGTGAAGACATAAAAAAATTCTTTTTTTCCTTCCTTGCGGTACATGCTGTGTGCTATGCTTGTGGCATAATCATAAAGGCAAAATAATATGAAAAAAATTATGTTTGTATTTTAAATAGGCAAAAAAAAAACATTGTTAAACATTCAATGAACATTGAGAATGAAGTTGGAAACAAGGCACGACTTATTAATAATTTGACTGTGAAAGATATCAGTTGCAGCTATTACAAATTAAACTTCAAATTCTTCTTATCAGTAAGATTAAAATTCATTCTTTCACATAATCATCTTCAAAAATGGGAAAGAATCAGAAAGAGGAACAAGGTGAGTTGGAACAATTTTATTGACCTTGATTATTCTCCCGAAAAAAAAAGTTGAAACTCATCGTCATCTCCATATTTTGACTTCTTCTTCTCCTTTGTACCACACATTCTTAATACTTCATAATTCTGTTCTTGAATCAATTCAGCAAAATCAAAGTTTGGACAATCCGAGAAACTGAACATGTCAACAAAAATAATGAGTGGTTTAGTGCAACTGGCATTAACAGGTGTAGCGGTTTTAATTGTCTTTAAGACAGTTCAAGATGCCGGAATAGTTTTATATACATTCCATCCAACACTTATGGCAATTGGTGTGAGTAGTTTTGCTATACATTTTGCATCAGGGCAGGGAGTCAGTTTTGATAATGAGAAATAATTTCGATGTTTCCAAAATGAGGAACGTGTTGTTTTGAGCATTCTTGAAGTTAGCAAACAAAACTTTATCTAAACTTCCTTTATTAATCTTTGATTTTCATCAAATCGTTTGAGTTTTAGTCCAGAGTCATTTTTTCGGCTCCTTAGTACACCAAGCTAGTCATAAAATCAATTTAAAGATTAACATCGTTAGTCCAGAGTCTCCAGAAGATATTGTAATGCTATAACTTATTTCTATTTCCAGTACTTAATCTTAATGGCTCAAGGAATACTTGGAATGTCAAACAGAAGCATATGCAGTGAATCAATCAGCCATAATAGACGACTAAAACTTCACTGGATCACACAAACAATCGCTGTCATTCTTATAACAATCGCACAGACCAGCATTTTTGTAAATAAGAATATTAATGGATATCCACATTATCAATCCATTCATAGCATCTGTGGACTTGTTACCTATCTTATGACCTTATGTGGAACTGTCGGCGGCATCTGCAACAATTACAGTACATCGTTGAAAAAATTCATGAAACCCGTTCAACTAAAAGTCGGACATGGATTCGCTGGTAGTTTAGTTTATGTCCTCGCGTCTGCAACAATTTGCGTTGGCATAAATCAAGTATGGGGAGATGAAGAAGATGCCCAAATTAAATTAGCATCTATTGCTGTTATCTTGATTAGCGCACTTTATGTTGTATCAGCAAGTATTAAAACAGCATTAGCACGTGCTGCCTCAATGTCGAAGAAATAAGTGGAGGAATTTGTATGATTTACTCATGCATAAATAAAATAGAAATAAATTTCCATCCTCTCTCAACTTTGTGTGTTGTCTTTGTCACTTTTTTGAAAAAAAAAATAAAGAAGAAAAAATTGGATCAGGGTATGCCAATAGTTTACTGGCTATTTTACTAGACTAGATAGGCACTACATTTTATTCATTGCTGAATAATTCATAGATTCATACACTTTGTATTGACTTTTGATTATATTATCAATAGGATTTAGAATGTAAATTTTAAAATCTAGGTTTCGGATATATGAAAGCTTATTCCTGTTTTTCTTGGGCCCACAATGTTACATTCAGTTTCATTCTCGCAGCATTCTTTCCGCTCGAAGTGGTCAAGCTAAAATTCAAGTTCGGAGCAGTTTCCTTAATCCAACGTTGCACAAAGCATCAATCATATCTTAAACTATCCGTTATGTCAATTTCTGATCATTCTTTCCAAACTAAGCAACTGACTCGAGTAGCACGATTGGTTAATCGAATAGAAATCCAGCGCCAAGCCGGAAAAACTCTAGAATGGTTCTGACTTTGATTTAAATCCAGCACCATGCCAGAGTCACACCGGCTTTATGTGGAATTTCTATCAATTAACCGACTTGTGCCATTCGGGTGATTCACCACCCTTTAATCAATCATACCCTTTAGCACACACTGGATAATATTATAAACTTTTCGTCTTATTCTTCTTGTTGGAATTCAATTCCACTCATGCTTAAAACTAAGTACTGTTGCTCTGGTGGTATTAAATTAAAATGACATGAGAACGAGCAGAGAAAAAAAGGAAAGGAGCATAATAAGAGCCAGAAATTTTTCAAGTATCAGAAAAAAAATTCAAAACTCAATCATGTGGAAAAACGAGCTAGTATGGGATCACAAAATGATACAGTCAGTTGAAAGAGAAAATTATTTTAATACGCTTCAAGGACTAAACGCCATTCAAGGACTATGCTCAATTTCATTTTCAATTCTTCTTTTCTTTGCCTTATGAAGTCTTCCTCGTCTTGTCTGATTTTTCTCAGATTGCCATTTTTTGTTCTTCCTGTTATAAGATATTTCCTCTCCTTTTTTTTGTGTGTGTGTATTTCTCTTCTTGTAGTAATTTTTGATGATAATAATCTGCTTATAGTATAGAAAACTTTGACTTCATCCTTGTACATGAAGAGGAAATGGATTTCGTTCTTTTTTTATGTTGAAGGATATTTTGTAAATATATCAAAGACTGAACGGTATTAAAGGGAGTTTTCATTTAAGCACTAAATAAATTCCATTGTATGTTGTCTAAGCTTTTTGTTCCTTCTTGATTCTTAGCTACCGGATTGAAACTAATTTTATATGTTTGATTATTGATACTTTGGAGATCGAATTCGAGTGATATGTCGAGGAATCTGTTGTTCTGAAGTACTTATTCTGTTGCTGAAAAACAGATATTCAGGATTCAAACTAATTCTTGATCGGTCTCTGATAAGATTCGAACCCACTTCTTACAAAAGAGGGTTTCAAATAAACAGTTTGTTGTTTAATCACTTGTGCCATTAAGGGCTTAGTCTCACATTAGCAGGGTCTCTATATAATGTTTTAAACCTAAGATTCCACTCTAATCAGTTATATAGTTGACTAAGAAGAATCGCATAACCTAAATATCTCAGTGTCGTATATGAAAAAATTGATAATTCTAAAAGACAACACCGATGAAATGAAGACACTGCGTCAAAGTTTTAAATCCTCAAAATATTGTAAAAAATAAATTTTATATTTTGTCTCTCAATCATCAGCTTGCAAACATAATTGGATTATTGAAAAGTCTTCAAAATAAATTTAATTGGCAACTCAATCAATCTCCAATTTGTATACAAATGAGGATTTTTTTTCAATGTCATCAGATCTTGTAATAAATTACCATTGAGAATTTTTAAAGGCATTCATTACTACATCATAAACATTCAATAAAATTCTCTTTGGACCAAGGGTACGGAACTGAAGAAATGATGATCAAAAATTATCAAAAATGTTCACAAATAATCAAAAATGTTCCGCACCCTTGCTTAGAACACAAATCTTTCAATTTTGCTAGTCTAATGGCGATTAAATTGCAGAAATTTTGAGCATATCTAATAACTCGAACTCGAAAATTTGAAATTTAACAACATGATGGTCAAGTAACATTGTTTATCAATTAATTTTCATGACTGCCTCAAGGATACAGAGTATCACATTCCAACCCGATATTCTAATAATGGAAAAAGAGCATTAGAGTATTTCCCATGGCTGAAAAAATAGAAGATATAAAATAATTTTCAATTTAAATAACAAGAATGGATTACTTTTGGTATCCTCAAGTTATTAATAGGGTGACCATCTAATTTTTATGAAAATACAGGACATTTGATAAATTTCCTAAAAAATACAGGACACAAAGGAAAATTTGAAAATTAACGGAAATTTTCGTGAAAAAAATACAGGACCAGACTACCGCCATTTCGTTTCGGACTTCTTCGAAATTAATTTCGATTTCTTCGACATTAGAGCCGAAAATTCAAATTTCAAAAAACAGTTGCATTATGTAAACAATAAATTATTTTAATTAATACCAATTCTGCACAAATCTCAAAGTTCTTCATAAATTATTAATTTTATATTTTTTTATCCATTCTCAACTTTATTAAGAATAAAATTTGAGCAAAATGAGTAAGTGCATGGTAAAATCTGGTTTAACCGTCAAAAATTTTTGAATATTATAACGGCCATAAAAAATTTGAATTTTTTTGAATATAAATTTAACGGATGTTATATGAAATGACGGTAGTCTGTACAGGACCTGGAACAAAATTTTAAAATTTATACAGGACAGGGTTTTGAAATACAGGACTGTCCGTTGTAAAACTACGCAGATGGTCACCCTAGTTATTAATCGATTTTTAGTAATTCCATTTTGAAAATGTTTCTTCTTTTTCATAAAATCTCATCGGTTATATTACATTTGTGGTCTATTTGATAAAAACATACGGCCTGTTTCACTAAGGTGGATTATCCACCGACTGGATTATCCACTTTTTCAATCCGAGGATAATCCATAATTTGTTTTCCTGCTTTAAACTGCACGGTGAATCAGAAAAAATGGATTTGAAAAAAATAATTTTTTGACGATGGATTTCACAAAAAAAGATTATCCTAGTATGTGGATTATCCGAAGATTATCCTGAGATCATCCTAGGATTATCTACATAATTATTCTAAAATGTTAAAACTGGGTCCCACCAAGATTGAAAATTTGGATAATCTTCAGGATTATCCTAGGATAATCTAAGGACAATCCATATACTAAAACTATTTTTTCGCGATATTCACTTTACAAGAAAAATGAATTTTCTCAAACTAGCTTGATTATTATTAACCAATTAATTCTACATCAGAAAGAAGAAATAGATAATCCTAAAATGAGGATAATCTACCTTAGTGAAACAGGCCGATTGAGTTTAACAAGGGAATCTATAATTTAAACACTCAATTCCCCCCCTGACTTTAGAACGGAAGCAATGTGAAGACAATGATTTGTGGGGTGTCAGTTGGGGAAGAAGGAGGTTGTTTATTTTTTGAAGCTATGCGAAGTTTTGTGAAGCCATTTATGAAGTTTTTGTGAGATTAAGGGGGTCCACTTTTGAGGGTTTTGTGAAGCCATGTGAAGTCATGTGGGAGGATTGACTCTAAAAACATTAAGGTTATATGCGCTTACAGCTATTTACAAAATAGTAATCAAATTCAAACTCTAATAACGGTCGCACCTGAATAGTCTGGTAAGGAAAGAAGGAAGTTCCAATGTTGTAACAAGTCAAAATTAAACAAGTGCAAAAAATTGGTTCAAATATTTAAAAATAAATGCACAACCCCAAAAATACAAATCAATATTCCACTGCAATGCAACATGAAAATGGATGACATAACAATTGTTTAATTTATTGCACTTTATGATGCTTCATTAAAATTCAGTTTGTTTAAATGTTTTACATTTAATTTAAATTTTAATGTAACAATTTAATGCAAATTTTATTTCAATGAGGTTTTCATGTAAACAAAAATAGCAACCTGAAGGTAATTACTTCTGAAATGCAGATATTAAAATGACAAAAGTCACGTGGAAGGTTGCACATTTACTATTAAAATACTTAATTTTGTCAGGTTTTCGGTTTGAATTGTCTGGAAAGTTTTTCCATCAACAACTCATTTTATTGTTGGTCACAAGTTCATGAATAAAAAAAGCTCATTTTTGTATCCAAAAAACGTATATTTAAATCAGTCATGTGATTATGTATTCTTCAACCTTATTTGTGCCAATAAAGTGGCTCTTCCTATATTCAGCAACATTGTTCTATTCAAATCAGATTGATTAATCTATGCACCGTACTGCGTGATGTGAAAATTACCTTTTTTTGTGCAAATAGTTTGAAAATTTATTCGAAATCAAATTGGTTTGTGAAAATCTTCAAATTATATTTGTGTCTCAGTTTGGGCTTATGAAAGTTTAATTTTTTACCCGTTTGTCCCAAAAAGACATTCCAAGAAAAAAAAATTTAAATTTTTGTGTATATTTTACAGCATTTATTCAGTTTTCTGATTGAAATCCTCTTTCATTTTGAATCGATTGTCAGAAATATATTTGAATAAAATAATCAAAGACTCTGTAAACCAAAAATTAATATTCACTTGTTAGGAATTAATTATTGATAAGTCTTGAAAGTTTGTCAATTCAATGTCAATATAAATATTTCACATCCGAAATGGCAAATTCCTCTACATTATTTTAAAATGTTGATATTATAAAGAATTGGAAAGATGAAATAACTTTTAAGGTTTCATTCATCTTGTTAAACTTTAATCCAGTTCTGTTGTTTGCGGCGAAAAAGAAATAAAATAAATTTGATAAAAAGATTGTCTTGAACAAGTTTGGATTTTAAAAGTTATACTGCATTCAA